CTATATATATATATATATATCTATATATATGTATATATATATATATATGTATATATATATATATATGTATATATATATTGTGATATTTATGGATCTATGTAATGGGAATCGAATCATGATGAGATCATGATAATGAAACTAATTTATATTTAAACATAAACCCTAAATAATCCTAGTAATAGGTTATTTGAGAGGATATCAAGATAACCAAACAAACTGGTATGATGTATACCCGTCTATATGATGGAGGCAAGCAAGTCTCATAGTTGCACCTGTGGAGACAGTAAGGATACAATGCAGGTGCTCATTAGAGAATGAGTTCACTGATTGATCCGCTCATAGAATACTAGATGGTTGATAATGCCTTATTGTCAGACAACGATTCCATCATGTCAATAGTATATTTGTTCTTTAGACTTGAGATACTAAGGATGTTCTATATGAATACTCAACTCTTTGATACTAGACTTATAGGCTTGGAAGTTTCAAATCTAGCATAATTGATTATTGGGAGTGGTAGCCAACCTTACAAGGATCATTGAGTATCGATAGAGGATCATCCACTTTTGGTATCATGAGAGGAATATCTCATGTGTTCTTGCTTAAATAAATCCTTAGCCAGGGTTATTTGGATTGAGAGAGAAAGAGTTCTCCGGGAGAATCTGATTAGAGCGAGACTTAAGTAGAAATTATATGAGCTTGATAATACCATGTCTGGTATATGGTCTTTGAGGTATTATATGAATAAGAAATTATAGATATATGGTAATTGAGGATAGACAAGTTCAGTGGATTGAATTCCTCTGTATCATTTGAGGGCTACGATGTAATGACCTAGTATGTCCGTAGTCGATGAGTCGAGTGAATTATTATGAAGATAATAATTCATTGAGCCAAAAAGAGTTCTGATAAGTATGACTCACGACCAGCTCGATATTGAGCATAGAGGATCACACACATGGTAGATGTTACAATGAATATAAGTTTGGATATGAAATATCTGCTAGAGCCTCTATCTTATTGAATATCCAATAAGCTCCCGAATTATTGGATCCTATGGATAAGATCTAATAAGAGCCAATGATAGATTATTTGATAGAGATCCACTAATCTAAAAGGCCTAAGTAGTTGAATGAAGGTCTAATACCCAATAGGATATGATCCATTATAGGAACCTCTATAAATAGAAGAAAACCAAAGGCTTATAGGCTAGAAGTTTTATTGGTTGTCACATCCTATTCTCGTCTCCCTTTTTTATTCTCATTTTTCTTCTCAAATAGCAAGTGTGGAGATTTGAGCAGTAATTAGAGGAGCGTCATCGCAGCCCTACTATGTGGATCACTACTAGAGAGGACACTTGACCTCCATCCTCTCGTACAGATATGTAGGGATTCAAGGATATACGATTTTCCTAGGTAAAATACAATAATCTCACACGTCGATTTAAGTTTCGTAATTTTTTATATATCAATCTTCGCATAACGACGAATACATTTTAGGAAATTTAAGATTTTTATTTTTTATTCTTTCGCTATGTATGTGATATTGCTCCCAAATTTTCTTATAATCACTATGTATGTATAGTTCTATTATCACACCCTAAAAGAACACTCGTAGATAAAGATTTATTAAGATGTAAATCTATCTTTGATTTGAAAATTTTAACTATTAACAATCAAATCATATAATCCATAACATAGAATTAAGGACACCAAAAGCATTCAGCTCTCATCACACACAATAAAACTTATATATATTACTTGATAACTCCATAAAACCTAGAGTCAATCATTTACCATAAGATGAACGAAACATCACATCCATAAGCCAATCATTCAGCACAAGTTGACATCAAAGCATGAAATATCGTATTTAACATATTTAAACCTTCCAATCACGTGATATCTTTTGACATTCACAATAACAAATACCAACTTAGAATTTTGGACAACCACACAACCAATGCCCTTTTATAATAACACAAAAAAAACACAAAACAAGTCACAATATTTTAATATTTTATTACCTTGGCCCAATCTAACATGAGTCTAAGTGACAAGTTAACTTAAAAATTTTATTTAATAATAAGATGAGCTATAAAGCTTAGTAAATGACTATTATATCCATAGCAAAAGAGATGACAAATTATATAACATAAGGATCAAGATGCAAAGCATGATTTCAATAGTCATATTTAACATTTCGTATGATTCATACTTAACGAGAGTGAAAGAGTAATATATAAGCAAATCAAAATCAAAATACAAGGCATAAGGTCAAGGGTCGTATTTATCATTTCGTTTGATTCATTAATAGCAAATGAGCGAAAAGCTACGTATTAATAAATCAAGATCAAAATTTATGAGCTTAATATTTTATTTAATTTTTTAATATTAAATGAGCATACAATAACATATAAGCAAAGAACAACATATAAGCATGTCTTTTAGAATCATATCAAAGGAAAATAGAAAACGAAGTTAGGATCATAACATAACATATCTACCAACTTTTAGATGATAATTGATATTAGTCTTCTACGTTTGGGAGCTCTATTTACCAATGTCTAGATAAAGTCATTAGAGTCGATAAGAGCATCAGAGGCTTCATATCATAACATAATTTTCTTCGCAAAGAAACCAAAGTATATCATAAATGCTAAAGTAAATAAGGACTTTCTGATTAAAAAAAAGTATCAAAAACATAAGCGAAAGAACAAAAATATATATATTCATGTATGAAGCAATATCAAGCCTAACATGAACATTTGCATAACTTATTTGATTATAACAAGAATCAATGACTAAGAAATAAAAGAGATTTTATAGCAGTAATATGAGACTCATTTGATAAAGGATTTTAGATGAAATCATATTCCAAACATATCAAAGGAACATTGATAATATAGTGGAATCATAAAATAATATAATTTTAACTATTTCGGATGAACATAACATAAGTCTAGAGCTTGTCATGGCTCCATGACTCCACAAGTATAATATATCCACTTTCCATTTCGAAAAAAGAGATCAAAGTATTCTATAATATCGGAGTACAATAAAGACATTCTGATAAAAAAAGGAAGTACATATGAGACAATAAAAACATACATATTTATGTATGAAGTAATATCAAAGCTAATTGAAACATATGTACAACTTATTCAATTACAATAGAAATTAATGAGTAAGAGATAAAGGAGTTTAAAGTAGCAACATGAGTCCCATTTGAGGGAATATTTTAGTTAAAATGAAACTACCCAAAGGTGGAGGCAAGAATTATGTAAATATGAGAGCAATTTCTTCTGATAGAATCTGTAAGGCAAGATGTAGTAGACTTCCATATTCACAATTGTACTCCAATTTATTCAAGGTGTTTTAGAAAGACATATGAGCCTAATTTCTAATAAAACAAGTTTTATGTAAATTAAAGTTGTTTAAAGAAAGTCACTCATAATTTCATAATTATAAGTTTATAATTTAATTAAGGTGGCAAAGCTCAATTAATTACTCATAATAAGAAAGAGTCAGCTCAAGCATAGTATAAGATTAAATAGAACACTCACTTTAGAGCTAATTCCGAAGATCTTGAATTAATCCAAATTCCTCAAGCAAAAGTTAAAACAAATTTCTTCTTCTTCTCCTCCAATGCTTCTCTTTTCTCTGATAGAGTGTAGAAAGGCTCTAATTAGGTAAGGTTTCTTACTTTTAATTTTTAATTATAAATATTTAGATAACACATAATATTACATGGTGACAAGCATCAATCAAAATGCCACTACGCTGCCAACAAGAAGCAAGCATGAGGTGACACACTCCTTTTTTTTTTACTAACTTAACATAAAACCTTTATAAATCACATTCAAATTTTAGGATGAATACAAAATTACTAAATAAATTCTCATATTAAAATAATAAAAAATTATTTATGATCACTAACAATTTAAAAATGAATAATATTACACCTATCGATAACAAGATACTTGCATAATAAAAAAAGAAAGAGATAATTACATATTATCCCCTTATTAGCATCATGTTCCTATATTTTAAAAAATAATATTAGAGTATCTATACTTAAGAAAGTAAAATATTTAATTTTAATTCTCTTTACGTCGTTAATTTCGTTAACGAAAAAAATTGCACATATTGTCATGTGCAAAAAGGCATGAAAGGAAAGGATAAAAATATAATTTTATTCTTTTTAAATTATTAATTTTATATAACCTTCTTTTCCCTCGATTTTTTCCTCTCCTCCTCCTTCTAACCTACTCATGTCACTTGCCACACTTATTGTTGATCTTGCTCGCCTATCGCTCACCTATCGCACTTACTCGCCATATGATGAATCGATTGGATCGATCCATACAAGGAATCGATTCAATTCCTCAATTATAATATTTTTAATATACTTATAATATTTTTTAAAATAATATAAATCTATTAAAAAATCTGTTTATATGATTGTTCTTATTCCTAAACTCATAATGATACTTATTTGCAATTCTTATTTTCTATATATGATTTGATTTATATTAAGTTTTGAATGAATTTATCTCGATTATAATATTTTTAAATATATTTATAATATTTTGATGGAGGTTCTAAATATATTATAAGTCTATTCAAATTTGATAATAAGAGACTTTTCTAATTATTTTGTAAGGGTGCATTTCAAAGATTAGGAACACTCCTTTGAGGAAAATGAAAAAAAGGCATTTTGAGAGAAGTCCAAAAAATGATTTTATTTTTGGAATTTATCCAATATATAAATAATTGAAGAAAGGAAGAATGGTTTAAGGTGACCGACGAGGTTTGGATCCAGTCTTGGATCTGCGCGTCGTCGATAGCAGCGCGTGGCCGTTGCACGACGAACCGAAGCGGCTCTCCGACCGGCGCTCGTGTTCGATTCCGTTTCTGTTGGCGAGCTCGTCTTCGGAACCCTAGAAATTAAGAGTCGGTGTTGGATTGTCGCCCTCCCTTCCCGGGCGACCACGGAGGGGGATGCTGTAGCGATGGCCGACGAGAAGCCGATCTCGATCTCGAGTGGTTTCTCCGATGGCGAGGCCCCTTCCAGGTACCCGCCCCTTTCGCTCAATTCGGGACTTCTGAGGTCTGTTATGCTGTTTTATGCGCCTGGAAGTAGGGCTTCGATGGAGCTTATCTCTTGATGACCTGTGCAAATTGGCGTCTTGGAACCACTTGTCCTCGGAAGTTCTTACCAGAAATTGCTAGTGGTTGAATTGAAGTTAGCAAAATTTACATATTTGTGTTCTTACTGCAATTTTTATCGTCTGGACTCATTTACGTGTTGGAGTGCCAGATTAAGGTCGTTATTCTTTGCCGCAAGCAACGCAAAGATTCGATAACTTGTTACCAAATGGTCTTTTTGTCATGATTTCTCAAAATTTAAGTTTTGTTGACAGGAACCCATATGAAGTTCATTGCTTATATACTTTTATCATGTGCAGACTTTTGTTGATTGAACCTCTAGTTTTTGTTGGCAATTATAATCATTGGCAATCTCAACTGAACTTTTGAATGGAGTCTATTTACCCTTTTCATCAAACTATACACATTTATATTTGCAAATAATGATATTGTTGCTAGGTGTGAATTGTTGAGTATGGTGAAGAAACATTCAAACCTACTGGGTGATTCGGTACATGATGAACAGGATGCTTCAGATGTTGTAATGGACAACGAGTTCTGGCATGAGGTCCTGGATCTGTATTTTATACGTGGGAGGGTATCAAAGGGACGTGAAGAGGATGACCTTGTGTTTTTTGTGAGAAAGATGGTAATGTTCAATTACCTGAGATGATTCGAGCGTATGTAATGTTTTCTCCATGTCCCTTCTCCATTATTGTGCCCAACTGTTCTTTTTGTCTTTACTTCCAGAATTTACATGGATATGGATATAGTGATGATGTGGAAGATGGTTCTCCTTTCTTTGTCCGTAGATGGGCCCCCAGGGTAACTAACATGTAGTTCAATTTTCTTATATATTGTGCTTGCCGTAGCTGTGAAGTTCTGTAAACTTTCATAGTTCCCTGTAGTTCATTTTGGTGGATGATTTAATAACCAAACCTAAGATTTTCAGTTGAACTTAATCATTCAAAAATACAACTTTATATAGCACTCATTTACATTACTTAAGTAAATCTTAGTATATGATTCTCTTATTTTGAGGTCCTTTTGTGACCTGGAAATGCTCAGGTGCATGCATATTTCTTCAGTTTCATGTAATATCTGCTTTTGCATTTGAAAATTAGAATATCACCGTTTTCCACATTGTAGTTACTAGGTTGTCAAACATGATTTTGATTCTGTGGATTGCATAAGGAACTTGAGGAACTTTGTGTAAGAACAACTTCACAAGTTCATCATCTTTCCATTGCTTTAATTTCTTTTGACTTAAATTGGAATTATAGTTGGTTAGGTTTTAACTATTTTTGGTAAATGGTTTTATTTAATGTTCTAAATCTCAATGGCAGTCCATATGACATATGCAGATTAATGGATGCACTTTTGAGTTTCAACATGGCATGCCTTTAAAAATAGAGTGAATATTGAACTGACAGGAACACTGTTAGTATGTTTTACTATGAAATATAACCACATAAATTTCTTGTTCTTAATGTGCTGCAGTTGGAGAAAGTAGTTGGTGAAGATTCTGCATGTGTGGATTGGAGACGTTCCATTTACTTAAATTTGATTGCCCACACATCATATACTGTCACAGTTGCAATTTGCAGGTACCTTTCTTTTGACTTACTTTTGAAAATGATAGTATTTTTCTTGTGGCAATAGAAACTTATTGTTATTGGTAAATGATCCCATTTGTTTACTGTATGAACTTATATTCATCGATTTATTAGCCTTTCTACCTGCTTTATAAGAAATCAAATCAATAATGAATTAGCCTTTTCGATTTTCTAGTGTCACTTAGTGAATGCAGACTCCAATTTGTTTAATATGCATTTTTCTTCTCTCATGTGTCCCTATCACATGTATGCTTTCACTCTGATCTTTTGTCTTAAAAGTCTGTTGTAGCTTGTTGTTAGGGATAAGTACAGTCTTTCACTCAGAGAAAAGCTTGATGTCCTCTTGATGTTGATTTTTTTGGGATTCTGTAACTGCTCATGCCTGATACAGAATACTCTTGTCTATTGTTTTGTGTGTCCAACCTAATTAAGAACAGAATACGGACATTCTTTTAGGTTTCTAATGTGTCTTTTGAATATATGAATTACCTGGATTGGCTATGTAATATTTTCACCCGTATGCAAAACAATGGTCGTAAGTTGATCTCCAAATCTTTTGATTCAAGTTGTGTAGTGAATGAGATTGCCCAGTTAGGGTAAAAAGAGAAGACTTTACAGTTTACAGAGCTACCCTGATGCTTCCTGATCCTAAAGAACTGAATTTACTTGGAAACCTATAAAGATTGTTGTGGAATTGCTCCAAGAAAATGATTAGACAATAATACATTCTAATACTACATCTGAAGAACTGAAGTTGGATTTTTAGATGTTAAATCATTCTATTTTCTCTACCATATTAGATTCATGAAGATTCTTGTCTTTTGCTTTTATTTGGTAATTCACTGTCAGTAAACAAGATCTGGAGCAACGTCAAAGTGGGCAGGACATATCACTTTCACCAATATATAAGGTATTTATACCAATGAACTCTCTCTCTATCACACGTGCTCATATGTTTAACTTGGTGATTTTTTTTTCTGCAAAATAGTTGATTGACATCTTGGGATTAACTTTTATTCAAATTAATTAATACTTGATTTATTCAAATAAATTCCTTGTCTTCTGAAAGAAAGATTGCATGCTTTTTCAAATTTTGTTGATATATTCATGAAAAGGAAATGTCACTAAACCACACTTGTGGATACTCTCAAAAGAGTGAAAGTGTTAGGTTAGTGCAGATTTTCATTTTTTAAACAAATCCTTAACTTTTTTTGGCACCGGAAATTCACTGTTTTACATGTGTTGTAAATACTTACCATTATTTATTTGGGAAAATGTATTTGGTCACGAATTTCAATCTCTTTACTTCCATCTAGTCCAACTGGAACGTAATTCTAAAGTCAATTTGTTAACAAATTATAATTTCAATTATTTTATTATTGTTTCATAATTTTCTTATTTCTATTCCCTTGTTTCTGAATTTTTATGTTTGGCTTGACATGGCTTGTTTTCTGATTGGAAGTTGAAAATGGTTCTGCATCTTTAAAATCATTCCGAGCTTCAATTGCCTAAGCTTACAACAGTTCAGATTAAATAAATTTGTGTTGAGGCCAACTGGTCTATCATGTTATGGAACATCACCAATTTTTCTAAACTAAACACACTTTATAAATTTTCGTTTACACACATTAATTAGTCACACTTTATATAACCACTTTTTCATAGGACAAATGTCAGAGGTTAGGAATGTTCATTTTGGTGCTTGGACATTTATTGTTGATCATGTTAAATAAGTTGTGTCTTGCTTTGCATCCTTTTAAGTTTATTTCGCTTTGTGTGTCTATGTGCTAATAAGACTAAAGAGGGATATATATGCAAAATGAAACCAGTAGGCATATGTATGTGATAATCCAACACATCATTAACTTTTCAGGAAATGACTAGAATTTATATTAACATAGAAAGGCCTCTAATTATAGCCATTCTTTCAAGTTTCAACCATGATTTGCATATCTTGGCCAATCATCCTAGGGTCAAATACCAATTTTGAGTTTCTTTTGTCATTGTTTCTTATTTATTGAAAGTGAGTGTTATCCATTGCCTGTTGAATATTTTGTTTTCCCCTTAATCATACAATTACTGGATCAGGTTGTAAAGACTGTTTATGCATCGCCAAGCCGTGTTGATTTTCAGTTGGATCATAAAAAGGTTAGTCCTATAATTGTCAGGTTCAGTCCCTATCTTTTCTTCTTCTAATATCCATCTATCTTTTTTCAGGCTGCAGAAACTTTACCTGCATACCCAAATATCTGTTTTTCAGTTGATGATTTTGATGACACTTTTGATGCTGTGGTATTATGTCTTAATTTGTTTTTGAGAAAATTTCAGTTATTTTTATTCTAAGCTCATTGTCATGCTCTGATGAATTCAATTTTCAGCACTAGTTCCATGTTCTTATATAGGTTCCCTTGTGAAAAAGATGGTGGTGATGTGTAGTTCTAGAAGCTTATCATTTTCTTGACTGATTTTGTCACATTTAATTCTTGTTCAACTAGATTATGAAGGCTACATTGGTTATCATTTCAAATTTATTTTATTTGTTCAATCATTGAGGTCAATTCATTTAAGTTAATAAAAAGCTAGGTTTTCCTTTTGACCACTGATGTCATTCATTTTGTGAACTTCATTGTATATTTATCACCAATAAATCCCAAATATTTGGGAAATTATGGCTTATTTTTGTTGGTATTATTAATTATTTTTAGGAGAAGTTTATTGGTAAAAAATGTTGGAAATAAAAAAGTCCATAATATATTTTAGATTGGTGAGTCATGTTGCCTTCACATGAGAACAAAAGGTCAGGCTTTAGGAGGTTTCATTTAATTTCATTCTTATACATCCTAGAAAAAGTTTGTGCCAACAATGGAATTGACTTTGTGGTCCTGGTCCACGCCTAAACAGTTACAGGTCTTGTATGTATCAGCATACCAACACATGGTATGCTGGTTTGTACAATGGTACCAAAAGAAAAAAGACTTGGATTGGTATAGGTCTAGTACATATTGGTTGACACAAACATGGTTTGTCAGTATGTATCGCAGTTACAGGAAAAAGGTCCAAAATTTTAAAAATAAAAACTCTAATTTATTTCTTTTATCATATATTCTTGACAAATACAATCAATTACGATAGTGATCAAGTTATTTTAATTTAGATTACAATAAAATACAAAATAGAAACATATATATATATATATATATATATATATATATATATATATATATATAAGGATTGAAAGTAGTATCTTAAAGAATACATATACACAGAAACAAGTTTAATTAGTTAGATATAAAACTGAACATATATTTGCTCTTTCCACAGTAAGTGATAGGTGAATCGGGGTCCTCAATATGGTGAAAATGGAGATTAATATAGTGCATCTATAAGACCGATGAATAGAACTGCTACTATGAGATCTAATACTGGTAAATAATGTGACACTGATGCAATAGTATGTTAGTAGTCAGTGCCGTCGATTTATTTGGATCTGGGTAGTTTAGCACAGATCTAGGCAAGATCCTCAGGGATCAATGCTAGATTCATTCTGATTGACAAGAATCTAGACCTTTAAATAAAGCCCTAGATTAGATTTAAATAAAAATGATCCAGGCTAAGGATGGAACAGTACCCATGAATCCTAACTAATTGCTTGAGATATGCTTAGAGATTGGGTTCTGGTTTACCTTGATTTGAGGAGAAATCAGATTGGGTTTTTGAATTCAATCTTCTTGAGCAAAGAGCCCTCCCTTAATGTTCTTTAATAATTTTGGAAGAGAGTTGACAGAGATTTAGATGAGATTTGTGAGTAAAGGAAAGGGAGGCAGCTTTAAACCTGCATGGGTCTCTTTGGATTGGTCCAAACTGAGAAGGCTTATCGTCTCGACTCTGGTGTAGACCCATGTTATCGTGCTTGTACTGGGTGGTAATCCCTTACACCAGTCTTGAATAGCATGGTAAAGGCTCGTCCAAGTCTCGACCGGCTGCTGGACTGATAAATATCGCCCATACCATACTGATCCAGGCAGTAAAGAGTTCCTTGGTGCCAATCACAAATGCCTCAATCTTGTCTGGTTAATGTGATTGTATATTATTCATTACTTTACCACTAGTTGGTATGCCATGCTTGTTGATGCTGATTTCTTTATCCTTCTTTGTCATTGGGATTTCTAAAGATATATTATCGTGTTTTTGGATTCAGTTGTCTTTTCTTATTCATTCCTTTTCTCTACTTGAAAGATCTTAGAAAAAGATTTGGATTCGATTTGGTTAGGTTTTGTCCGAAAGAAATCATTGCTACTGTGTACTTCTCAATGCACATGGTGGACCAGCTTTTCCAACAGATGAGGATCTCCCAGAGTGCAACTCTAGTAGGCCTGTAAATGTACACAAGGATGTGGAGGAAGCCAAGCCATCTAAGGTTTAGTTGTTTAATAGTCTAATTCTGTTGCAATATAATATCCCTCATTCCGTATGTAGTGTTTCGTGGCTGCATGTGGTGATCATTATTGTTGCTGTTGATATTCATTTAAATTTGATTTGTGAATTTCATGCCCTGAGTGAAGCATGCTGACCATGTCATACCATGGCAGCAAGGCACTAACATTTGCATGACCACATGACATAAAGGTGCCTGTGTTTAATATTAGGTTTGTCCATAAGCATACTACCAACACTGGCATGATATTATTCAGCATGGTGGGACACTGTTTTATTCTTTTGATGCAAAATAGAGCATGCCCCATATGATGCACTCAAAATTTCTATTTAGTCGTGAACTGAAGTAAGTTAGCATTAAAGATCCTTTCTGTCTGTTATATAAGTTTATTTACTGCATATTTGAATCTGCAAATATTTAAAATAAAGATTTTGATCCTTTGATCTATCATGTGGTTGGAAAAAGTAGAATGGTTTTTAATGTTGTTATAGCATCTTATGGAACCAACACAAGATCTGGCTTGTGGACACAATATTAGCAATATTCATTACAAAGCACTCCTCATTGCATGGATTCTTTTTTAATGTTGTCAAGTCGCATATAGAATCAGAAAGCGATGGAATTGTGGCACAACTTTGCAATATACATTACAAATACAAACTACAAAGTGCTTCTCATTGCATTGATTTTAAATAAGGATTTGTATGCTACATATTGATTAATATTACTAGTTTGTCTAAGAATTAATATTGAGTCATATGGTACTTTTTTGTTATTTTTTATGGGTGATAGTATCACCCGGGAAACTACTACTACAATATTAAAACAATAGGAACATCTTTAGTTATAATTGTTGAGATCTTCATGAGATATTCACAAGAAAAGTGAACCACAAACTTACAAGGATTTTTCTGCTTCATAAACTACTATAATTTCTGTGAATTTTTTATTTCATATTTCCACAACAGTATCAATGACAAGAAACTGTGCTGAACTACCAGAGACCAACATTCAAAGTCTACGTTTTGCAATATCTGTAAAACAATCATTAAAATCTTATCAGTTAGATTTTTATGGTTCAAATTATCACCTGGTGTACCGGTAGTCTACCAGTCAGATTACTAAAGCCAAGATTTGCATTTTCTTATTTTATATATTAATGCTAAAATGATCAAATAGATGTATGTTTTCTTATTTTTATTTACCCTTTCCATGAACAGGCATGAATTGGCTTGATTAAAGAAAATATTTAGATATGTACATCAGTTGTGTGGTTTCTTCTCATTGGGGTATTTTTTTGGTCAGGGTGTCTATTAAAAAATAGCCATAAACTACCATTAATTGTTAATGGAATTTGATGGACAAGTTATTCATTCATATTTAGGCATCAAGACTGGATAAGTATCAGTAAAGAGACTATAATTGCATGTGACCAGCAGATGGATCTAGTCAAGCACTAAATTGTTAGATTTGTATCATTAAAATAGTAAGATTGACAAGCACTTTCCCCCACAAAATATCAGAGCCACTTAAATGATAAGAGGAGCCATGTAAAAGGAATTTTAATGAGTGTTCTGCAAAAAATTCAAACCATAAAATTTGAGAGTTGACCTCTAGTTTAGGGTAGTTTTTTGTCATTGAAAATAAATTTACAAAGATGAACTTAATGGTCATGATTATGAAATGAAGAAATTTACAGAAGTTGTTGTAGTTTATGCAGGAGAAAATTCCTTATGAGTTATAAAATAATATATTACTTTCATGGAAAATTATGAAATAAAGAACTTCACAGAAGTTGTTGTAGTTTATGAAGGAGAAAATTCCTTATAAGTTTGTGGTTTACAGATGTTTTATGGAGATTTTTCTTTTGTCATCTTATCTATTCCTTCTTATGAATGAATTATAGCTGATATGCTGATTGCCCTTGGTCCTGCAGTTTTTAAAGAATATATGGGTGAACTTTTGACAATAGCATTATTTATGATTGCAGCTTACTCTCTTCTCAGGATTCGTCAGCTATCAGATGGTTAGAGAAGCATATGATGGTGAGTATTTCGCAGTTTCTTGTTTATGGATAGACGAAGGTGTGGAAATTTTTTCCTTCAAGATAAATTGAATGGCCTTCCAAGTATTTGTTTTAGGGAAAAGTATCTTGAGCCCTTTTAAGATTATGATATCACAAAAGGTGCCTGGTCTTATCAAAATTTGCACTTGAAACTTTCTGGTAATATCCTTTGTCAGATGATTACATTTTAAATCCTCTATTATTGTTATGTTACGAGAAACACCTTTCTGTAATTTACTTGATTAAGATGTATATTTTAACAGAATTACAACTGCTCCTTCCAAAATATCAGCTAACTTGAAAATTGTGTTAAAAGACCTACAGATCAAATGACCAAAATACCCCTATGTTCAAATTGCCTAACTCAACTCCTCTTCGAAAACTTTCAAATCCCTAGATACTCCGCTCCTCTCAGACTCCCTACCGACTTTTGAATCCACCATCAGTGAGCCTACTTGAACTCCAAATTTGCACCCAAAAGTTCCAATTAGCCATTCTGTCAGTCTGACTTTCTTGCAAAAATGTTGATTGCAACTCAAAATGTGCATTAATGTGAACACCTTTGCAATGTGAACACTGTTTTTCACACTGCCTCATGTCTAAGGTGGAAGCGGTTTCATGTATTCCAAAGTCCATACAGTTATCTAAGTAATCAAAATTCAATTGCAATGATTAATACAGAGTCGTATTTATTTATCTGATAAATGATCACTGCCTGACCATATAGGTGTGGCCTAGTGCTCACGGTATTTATTCTTTTATTATTTTTTCTGGTGGTTGCAATGATCAATACACACTTGTATTTTATTGATCCTGATCAGTGCCAAACCATATAGGTGTGGCCTAGCGCCTGCGGTATTTATTCTTTTGTTATCTTTTTCTAGTAAGTGATACAGGTCAACAGTGCTATTTGTGTGCTATCAGTCCAATTGCTTATGAAAACCAGTATTGGACTGAGATTTAAGTCCTTGCAATTGCCTTGCCTATGACTTTTGGTGTCTGAATGGAAGAAATAGGCTGCTTAGTGGAGTTTTAGAGTCGGTGCAAAGAAGAAAAAGAGGAACAGCCATGACAACTGGGAAATGTTAAGGTGAATAGCATTCACAAGTTGGTGTAAAAGAAAAAGGTGGAGGGATGGGGACCTATTTGTAATTTAAGAACTTGGAGGTAGTATTGACATTTTGGTAGTAGGATATTTTGTTATGTTCAAATTGTAAAATTTAAAGAACATTTTCTTTTTTGCTAGCAGCAGTATTTTAGAGGGTCTTATTTGGCACATGTCTAACTTATTTGAGTCAATTCTTGATCAGTAAAGTAAGCAGGTTGCAGAGTAAAAGGAATAATCTGATGTTGCACATTCTATTTTTGGTATAACGAGAAGGAGAGAGACACAAGAAAATAACATCATATTTTGCATATGCTGCTATCTGTGCGACCTATGTGACTGCACAGTCAACATCAGCAGGATGCATGCGAAGTCATCACAGTAGTTTAGCAAGATCACAGGAGCAATTTACAAGACTGTCTCTAGCACATTGAACTTGCTTACATAGCTACTGGGTATATAGGCAGGCCTATGCTGGTTAGCTGCATATGGAGGTTGCATAGTCCTCAAGCAAGGCAACAAAGATGTCTCCTGACATATGCCTCATATACTGCAATTAGAATTATATTGCTGACAAAGAAGTCACTGCATTCTAATTATTGAGAACTTTAATGGATTAGTACCTACTGGTACTGATGCATTGCCTTCGATTTGTCTTCGGATCCTAGAATTAAAGTGTTGCCAAACTTATATTTGATGTAATCAGGGTCCAGTATCTTTTGGAGATCTTTGACTTTGTAAATAATTGTTGTGAGTTATTTCTCTTCATTGGTTGATGTGCTACAGAAACTAAGATTACTCTGTGTTTTGCATATATCAGTTGAAGGATTAGTTATTAGGTCATGATCACTCATAATTTTCTCTATATAAAATCTTCTTTAGATGAACTTGTATGATGATAAAACTAAGTTGGATTCCTGTAAGTCTGCGCACATGTTAATATTGGATCTTTTTATTTGCTTACCATGATATCTTTTGATGTATATTGGCTTGTCTTAGTTGGAATTATGTAAAATCCTTCTTGCTGTTATCAAGTTATTTTAGTTACACTGGTTATCCTACAATTCTCTTGTTTTAGAGTGCGAAAAAGTATTTGCACCTGATTGATGGTAAGCATGAGCAGTTGAAAATAAAATGATAAATCTGATCATAAAACTTTGAACAGATCTGCTTTTGTCCCACCTCTTGTTTTGAGTATGATGCCTCAATTGATTAGTTATATTTACCTAGCTAAAAGTTTCTCATCATGAATTTTCTTTTTTTACTTTTGAAGCTGGAAAGTCTAGATTTGGGAGCCTTCTGTCAATGGGCCATGGTCATACAAAAACTGACAAGATTTACATGCGGGGCCCTGGTGGACGTGGGGAGGTTGAAGTGGCAGTTTCTGGAATAGCAGGTCCATGACATTTTCTTTCTGAAATTTTTTTATGAATTTTGCATGTTCCAAGGTTATTTGGGAAAAAAAAAAGGAGAAATTAAATATCTAGTTAATATCTAATTAAAAAAGATTGGCATGAAAACATAGTTTCAAAATGTGTCACTTGAAAGATGAAAGTTTGATGTTTTAATACACTTCTAAGAGACCTTAGGTAAGGTGGTTCTCCTGTGATGACAGATTTTTTTAAAGCATTAATGTGCTGTATTATAGATCAAAGCCACCAGAATGCAGCTCTTTCTTCAGCAGTTCATTTATCTAGGAAAGGCTCAGGGATCGGCCTAGGAACTATTGTCCACAGAGCTGCTTCTGCTGCTTCTGTGTTGGCAAAGCATGCTTATGCTGCTACATCTCCCAACAGGCAATCTGATGGTGAACTTCTACCCCTAAAGTGCTGCCTGATGTCCATCTCATTGCCTTGGGAATACATTGCACATGATTTGTTGTTCAAGGTAAGTTCATCCTGTATCCAGAACACAACAAAAACCTTCTTGTTGATATTGATGAATAAAATGATCATATTAGGTTTTTAGCATAGTTTGGTTTGAAGGTTATACCCTCATACCATGCAATGATCGAATTGTATGTGAACATTAGTAGGTAGTAGATATTATGAAATGGAAAAGGAATGCATGGAGAGCTTAAACCTCTGATGCTGGATGAGAATATTATGAAGTCAAAATAATAATGAGTTTTCTGATTATCCTCATATGGTTTCTTCGGTCATGTGGTGCATGCTTGCTATACTTCATGCTATTTTTCTTTTTTGTTTTGGCATCAATAGAGAAGGCTGTTAGGATGAGACTGTTGAAAATTGTAAATTTTTTACTCTCTTTGATGCATTGTTGTTTTACTCTTTTCTTCAGTATGTTTAATATTGATACCATAGAATATTTTGCATCATAGTTTTCTGAATGCCTAGATTAAATGCTTTCCAAATGTCAGATCTTAAATCACTGAGTTGAACAATTAAATGAATTTTTGTGTTATGTGCCATTATTTTGTAGACTTCTGTTCCTGTTCCCATTTTGCTGACAAGTATTTACTAGACATATTCGTTGATTCTGCTGACAAGTATTTACTAGACATATTCGTTGATCAGATACAGTCAAACTTGGCGCAACTGCACTTGGAAGCTTGATTTTTTATGTTATTAGTTGTAGTAGTTATGCAAATGAGTTTGGGATTAATAGCTAGTATGTGTCTTTCTCATAATGACATCTTTTTGAGATGCTATATTCTGATGTATGAAAATTTTCACCCCAACTCATTTATAGGAATGCTGGGACAATCCTGAGAAACATACATTTGTTATCTTCTCAAGTCATTTTTTAGTATTCATGGTATTCTACTTGTTGATTCTTCCAGGTTAGTCCCCCGGTGGACATGTAGAAATCTCCGACCAGTTTTTGGAGTCATGATACTGTGACATCAAAGAGGGAGAATTGATGCAGATGGACGGGCTACTGGGAACTATGACCAAGAGGAATATGCTGCTTTCATGACAGCCACATCAATTGTGCACCCAGCTAGTCAATTGTTGTTCATCATGATCTTATTGATTTGTTGTTTTAACAACTTTATTTAATTTGAACAGACACTCGAGCTAATGTGCTCAATGGGACTTGGGATCAAAGGCAGCTCAGGCAGATTTTGTAAATATGCCCACCAAGAAAAGCCGCAAGGACTCCTTGGTAAACTCTGTACTTTATTTCTTTGAATCATTTTGACATGAAAAAAAACAAAATTTGTGGGTGTCTGGCTTAGATATGTCTTCTTTTAGTCAAATAGGAAAACATAGAAAAGTTTCAGACAGATACTACATGTTTGCATGGCATACAAATATATACATATCTAGTACTAGGCACATGGCCTAACTAGCTCTGATCACCCGTTACTTCAATATATGTTCTTTCTTTCTGGCTAACAATAGTCTGATTTGGAAGAAATGAGTTGGTCTTAAAAAGGTTGCAGAGGTAAAACATTCAACAGGTAAGTTAAGTCGTGTCTGCCATACATATGTTCTGTCTTTGTTTGGTAAAGTTTATTGAAGTCATTACTTTCAGAACATTTATACTGCTTATTCTGAAATCTTCATAATTTTGATAATTGTTAAAAGATATTGGAAACCTAGAACTTTCTAAGATACATAGAATTAACATACAGCTGTCTTTTGAGATATAGTCAGTCCCTTGTATTTATGATGCATTCACCTGTGGAGCCTCCTTAGAGGCTTAAGGTAGAACTAGCTTTTTGGATTCACATGGGTGTCTCCCCACTTTCTAGCTTCCAATTAAACCCTAACCTTAGTGCCAATAAAGATGCTTGGAATTGTGCTCCCATCTCTTCAGAACATAATGACCACCATTGTGAGGTCTGTGGATTTCTTTGTTGGATAAGGATAGGATAGAACAATTAGTGGGAAGACAAAAGAAAGAGAAAGACGGGGTCTTCTTTCCCCCCTGGTTACATAGAAATGAAAAGAATGTAAGGACCAACCGAAACATAATTTTCTTCTTTTGAACAGTAGTTTAGTTGTAGGTTCAATGAATTTTCATAATTTAAATTAAAGTCAGTTCTAGATTATTTGATCACAAAAATGCAATTTATTCATCAAAAGGAGGGGTAAATTGTAAGTAGAAGCCTTGTTCTGTATTCCTTTGGCAAGCCTACCTATTCGGCCCGATTCGTCTAATTTTACCAACTATAAACTGACATGAATCCGACCCAACCCTGCTTTGTTGCTTCGCGATTAAGCTAATATGGCCCAAGATCACGTCATAGCAGTGTCGGATCCGGTGTTTTACATATCGCACAAACAAGGAACAATTTCATCTCCGCCGTCAATACCCATCCATGAACGGAAGAGATGGATTCGAAGTCTGTCTCTCTTTCCGAACGGCAAGCATTGGATCCATAGCGCCTTTTTAACGAGACCGGGCCCATCCAGGTCCAACTAAAACTGTCCATGAGCACATTGCCACGTATGAATCTTCTTCCCGTTGGCTGACTCCCGCCGTCACATGTATAAATACTGTTCCCCCCATTGCCTCTTCCCTCCCCCGCGCCCCCCTTCCTCTCGCTGACGGCGAACCGCACGGTCTATTTTTCCCCGCCGGTTCGCCACCATGTCGGACCACGAGCCGGTCCTCCTTGATCTCGACTTCCTTCTCCTCGACGAGCCCGAGCCGGCGCTCACCCGTGGGAACAAAACCCCACTGGTTCACGTCGCGGAGACCCGCCGGCTGGCGGTCTCGGTCGAGGACGAGCGGCGACGCCTCCGCATCATCTCGAACCGGGAGTCCGCCAGACGGTCCCGTATACGGAGGCGGCGGCAACTCGAGGGTCTCCGGTCCGAGGCGGACCGACTCCGGGCGCAGAACCGAGCCGTTGCCGGCCGGCTCGGGCGTGTGAACCGCTCGGTCCTCCTTTTCCGCCGCGACAACGAGCGTCTTCGGTCCGAGTCCGCTGGGCTCCGACGGAGGCTGGCGGAGATCCGCCGCTTGGTGCTGTGCTGGTGGCTCCGGCGTTTGCCTCTGCCGTCCGCTGCGGCCGGCGGGGGATACCTGCTGGGAAAGGAACTGATGTTGGCGTCACTGATGGTGTAGAAGCCTTCTTTCTATTGGCGAAACCGGGGAATCGGTTGGTGGTAACGGATCCGGCACGGAAACGGATGGGCGCCGAGAACTCTTTGTTATTTGGGAATGGATAATAATAATAACTAATTAACAACTTTAAATTGGCTCCAGTTTCTTTGGAATTTTATTTTATTTTATTTATATTTAAATAACTCAAAGCCTATATATATATATATATATAATTATAATTGGGAATAAGCAAGCCAAGTATATCCCTTCACGAGGTTAGGTTTAGGGAGAGCGCATCTAAGTGGTTTTAGCTCTAAATATAGAGATGTTATTTTCTGGTCTCAGTTGATATGAGTATAGTTACTGGAACCAAATCAAACCGAGTAATTGGATTTAAAAAATTAGGAACCAAACCATTAATTGGCCCTATTTAATTATTGGATTCATACGTTGAAAAACTAGGATAAAAGTGATTAATCATTTTTTGGATAACACGCATGAACCAATCGAATTATATAAAAATGATCTAATTTTATAAAATAACAAAAGATTAGTCAAATTTCTTTAACTTAATTTTTTTTTTTTTAGCGGATATTTTTATGTCGATAATGAAATTAGGGTTGATATGAGAAACAAATTAAAACTAATATAGTTTAGAGTAATTAGTATCAATAGTTATGTTTATAATGTTGGTTAATGTTATCAATTTTGTCATTTACTATGTATTTTTAAATTTTTTTTAAATATGTTAGATTTTAATTATATATAATTCTAAAATTTTTAATATATTTTAAAATATTTTTTCTGTCAAACATGTGGTTTGAGGGTTCAACCCGTGACTAAGGCTTATTCGGTTCGCTTTTTGATTGGGTATAAGAAAGAGCAACCTTATTGTTCACCCTTTCCAAACCAAACAACTTAAATTTATATTTAATCTTTTTGAGTTAAATATATGAAACTTAAATTTACGCTCTATTTAATTTTTAAATAACATAGGATTAGTGTCTTCCCCAATTGAAACTCAATCCTTTCCTATTCTTTCCCCTCTGAGTCAAAATCATTGGTGCTCGAAATATCAAATTAGAAGAGAGCCCAAAAGGTAGATTTTCAAATGTAATCGATGGAAGCATCCTTGTACGAGCATCAAAATCAAGAACTAAAGTAATCAGAACATAAATTATCGATCATTGTTACCATCTAAAAACTTAAGCTACGTGAAGATCATACCGTGGTTGTTGGACACATCATGTTTTCACTGTGGTCAGCTCTTGCACTAGAACAATCTTTTTATTCCGGATCATGGAAATCTACTGTAGGGCAGAAATATCTAGTGTTAGACACACCAAAAGACAAAGAGAAAGAGAAAGAGAAAGAGAGAGAGGAAAAAAATAATACAAGGAAGGAATCAATCATCAAAGATTGTTTTGTTCTTTTAAGTGAGAGAGAGAGAGAGAGAGAGAGAGAGAGAGAGAGAGAGAAAGAGAGAGAGAGACGGGCATATTCTTCGCATATCTGGTCACATACTGCTGTTTTGCAAGTGAGTTATTGATCGTCATCAAAATGTAGTGGCCTCGCCACCTTTTCCCCCTCCCTTTTTTCCTCATCAAAGCAAAGATTAAGAACAACAGATCATCATGGCGAACCATCATACTACTTTTTATTTAGTGGGGTGACATCATGGGATAGTTCGATCATGATAACGAAACAGATACATATAGCAGAAGATTCTTTCTTTCTTTCTTTTTTCTTTCCCCTTTTTATTTTATTTTCGATGTGTGACACCGCAAGAAGCTGTTTACGTCTGCTTGGATCGAGAAAATACTGCATGCAATTACTACGTAGCAACGCATCACCTGCGATGAAGAAATAGTTCTGCATCTATCTTCATGTATGGAGTTAACAAAGACACGATTAATTAGCCAAAACACGATAATTATTTCCTATGTTCTTTGCTCATCCCTTTTGTTTGGGAATCAAATCAGTTCATGTGGGGCTTGGCTTCTATTCTAACTTTTCATGATTGTACAAAGCATATTGGTGGCATATTGGAATTAATGCTCACTTCTTTAATGTAATAAGAGAGGAAATATGTGAGTTTGATTTACTCCAAGTCAATGTTCTTAGTGCAATTATGCTCTAAGAAGTTCATACATTCTTGATGCTCACCACATGAAACAAGTAGAATTTTCAGACAATGAAAGAATGGAAAGATTATAGGATACCTAAAACAAGGATCAATTGCACATAAGACTCTATCAATTGCTTAATGTGTTAGTTTTGTCAATTTGCTTAGCCTTTGGTGGTGCTTGCATGGCAGTAATAAGGCACTATGTAATGCTTTTCCTTTAAACATATGATGATCTGTTGTCTTCCAGATGCCAGGAGAAATCAATTAGTTGTGATGACATATGTGCAAAGCCATACTTAAAAACATATATGGTAGAATATCAAAATTTTATGCCATAACTCTTTACCTGTCTTGTTTTTGAAATCAATTAGTTTTGCTCTTAAAATAATTTAATCATTTTGATCAACATTAAAGAGAATATTGTAATATATTATTATTGAAATAAAAATATCTATGAAGCATTAGATACTCTCATGTTTGTCATACAATTTATATTATGAGTGGTTGATGCATTACTTGTTATGAGGTTAGTTAATTCATGGTTTTGTTAAATGTTATGCAAATAAAGTGAGTCTATATATATTTAGCCATCCTAATGGGATAGATAATATTAATCACATGAGCATTCTTCCACTGTTCAAAAAGTTAGGTGGATCCATTTTTGTTGTCTGCATTTTACAAAAACTTGTTCTGAATAGTGTATACTTGTGGATATACATACAGTAGTATTTAACCATTTAGTAATATTCTGAGGTCCAATTTTTTAAGTTCCAATGTGATAGATACTCCAAGCATTAGCAACTCAGATATCAATGAACTCATGGACTCATATTGTGCCACTTAATGTCTTAGGTGAACTTGGAAATCTTTTCCAATATAGTTTTTGAAATTTATACTACTATTATTATTATTTGGATAAATAGTTTTCTCTATCTACTCTCTTGAGATTGTATAACTTTAACAATCCATGACTATTAACAAGTACCAATTTCATTGACTAATTAATATATGATACTTTCAGCTTGGTTATGCCTAGCACCGCAGTTATATGAAAT